CCACCATTGTCACTAGTGCTAGTGACAATGGTGGCTTTGTTTGAACGTGTACACGTATGACTGTGTTTACTAAGTGGCCAGTATCTTTAGTAAATACAGGGATATGATCTTGGACACATTTCTATCACATGTACATGTTTCTGTCACATGTACACATTCAAACAAAGCCACCATTGTCCTCAGTAGGCCAGTATCTATAAAAGTAGCTGAAGGATATCAGTATATCATCAGTACATCATAAAGAGATAAAGAAAGATACTACTACTATCAAACTGAAGATGACTTCATTCCAGCGTATGGTCCTTGTTGCAGCTGTACTCTTCATGATTACTGCTCATGTCACTGATGCTCTGACATGTCATTGTTACCCTCAAAGAAAATGTGAAGGGAATTATGAGGAAGTAGTCGAGGGTGTAAGGCCATTTTAAGCATACAAATATTTACAATTTGCCCTAATGATATCAATTTGGTGTGTACAAATTTTTAAGATTCCAAGTTCAATTTTTCTATTCAGTTAAAAGTTTTACAAAACTTTCCATTAAATCTCTATTTTGATGCTAGTGATATTTGATGTTAATTCTAGTAGATTTGAGTCTGTGCCAAATATTGTATGTATTATTTTTATAGGACGGACGAGAGTGTTGTACCAAAGGCTATGCTTCTCATGCCTGTTATGATAGTGTTGGAGTAATTTGTGATCACTGCTAAAGCTACTGAAGAAGCAAGAAAATAATAATAATAACAACAATAATAATGATAAGTTAATAATAACAGTTAAATACTATTAATAACTTAATAGTTTAATTATCATTATCATTACTTTACTTATCATTGCTAAACTCATTTATCTAATACAGTAATAATTATAAAGATACCAGCAGTAGAGACCCCCAGCCATTAGATACCTTATGTAACTGATGCTACAGTGTCTGTAAGGTGGAAATACACATGAATATTAATAAATTTACTAAAAGAGGGTACTACATGACAGCTGCTCTTAGTCGAAACTAATTTAGCTACTTTATCAATTACTTCTTTATTGGTTACTTTATCAAGCACTATGTCTTCATTCTTAGCAGGAATATAGTACGTATTTATTACCAAGTAAGCGTCAAGACAACCTTCAATATATGAAACCTTTCAGCTTTATTTGATGATCTATTGCTTTCAAACCAGGCCATAAAACTCAATGGGACAGTATCTTAATATCTAGTAATCTAGTCATACAGCATATCATCAAATGTACATTGAAGAGCTTTTTACATTAAAAGGTTGGCATATTAATTTTTATTTAACAGTAAAAGTAATTAAGGATGCTTATAGCAGACAAGTCCTCCAACCATTAGGTCCCTGTGTTCACAGTTATACATGTACCTGATGCTATAGATCAGTATTCATTAGTAAACCCTTTCACTATGATTGATCTACTGCTTATACAGGCTAGGCCATAGAAACCAATGGACACAAATCTTAATATCCAGCAATCTAATGATGGAGTGTATACTGTATAGCGGGTTATTTTCGGTGGCTGAAAATTTCAACTGAAACCAGAAATGGCTTTAGAATAAAAATTTGTTGGTTTTATTTTCGACTAGACAAAAATAATTGATCTTATGTCTTCACTAGCATCTGTAGGACTGATAGCATTAGAAAGAGGTCCCCTGGTCCTGTAGGGTCTGGAAGAGATTCTTTAGAAGGTGAACACCGTTTTCAAGGCTATCGATGCTTGTTATCATGTTATTAATAATTTATTATGGTCACACCTATCTTCAGAATTAATTTTCATCAGAATTAATTTTCGTTCAGAATTAATAGCAATGAAACAGACGAAAATAAGCACCAGTCGAAAATTAACCGCTATACGGTAATCATCAAATGAATATTGAAAAGCTCCTTCCAATAATTAGGGTTGCGTCATGTTATTAGAACTTATAAAGTTACCTCAGTTTCCCACAGATTAAAGTGAACATGGACATACATGCAGTATACTGTGAATACACATGTAATACATTATTGGGTGAATGAGTCACTGGCTAAGAGTAGTGGAGGTGTAAGTCTGGCACTGCTAATAATCACGTACTCCATTGGCAGTCTCACAGACTGTTAATAGTAACCACAGGCATACGAACTTGAACACGTTTCTATCACATGTACATGTTTCTGTCACGTGTACACATTCAAACAAAGCCACCATTGTCCTCACTAGGCCAGTATCTATAAAAGTAGCTGAAGGATATCAGTATATCATCAGTACATCATAAAGAGATAAAGAAAGATACTACTACTATCAAACTGAAGATGACTTCATTCCAGCGTATGGTCCTTGTTGCAGCTGCACTCTTCATGATTACTGCTCATGTTGCTGATGCTGAAGTAGAGTGTGGCTGTTTCAGGAATGGTCGTTGTGCAGGTCTGCCTGAACATGGAGTTGGGCCTGTAAGTGACTATAACTTACCATGTAGCATGGAAATATTACACTTTTGATGATTGGTGGGTTTTAATTTGGCAAATTTTGGCACCATTCTGTGTCACTAAGGATGTGAATAATGGCGCTAAAGATAGTCGGTTTTATTTGGTGAATGGCCATCAAACTGTCAAATTCACCAAAATTTCTGTCTTCCAAAATTATCAGCTAAACATTATTTCATAATATTCTTATTATACTTCTATAGGACGGACGCCTCTGTTGCCACCTTCGTTTTCTCGCTTATGGATGCCGTGACTCTAGTACTGGAGCGGTAGTAGTTCCTTGCACAAGTTGCTGATAAAGTCACTGGAGAAGCAGGAACAATGATAATAATAACAGATATATATACACGTAATATTAAAACTCAAATATAACTAATTATCTGTACATGTACTTGATTATCATTATCAAAGATTACACTATTATTAATTATTAGTAAATACATTCAGATGGAGTTAGAACACAAAGTCTGAATATCATTATCATTATCATTATTATTACTATTATTATTTCTTTAAAAGATAATTATTTATCAACAAAAATTGAAAGAGAATAAATTGTCACGCGATTTCAAATCATTAGACACATACTCAACCACAAATCACAAAAAATCAAAAATTTATATAAAATTAATTTTATTATCAGATTCACTCTCTATAGCGTACACCTCCATTTAACGGACAGCACCTAGTGTACCAAGTACATTCCTTACTGTATAAAATAACCTCCACATAAAGGACACCTCTGTATAACAGAGACACTTTCTTGATCCAAAGTGTCCATTATGCATATATAATATACTTAAAGACTGTATCAACACGTTTTACTAAGATGTAAATTAAACCAAGCATCTATATCTTTATACATGTAAGCTTGGTTTAATTTACGTCTTAGTACTAACAATGGTTTATACAGTCTTTAAGTACACATATATTGTAGATGGCTAGATGCATATGTATAAT